CCACCAGGAGAGAGAGAGCATTTCCCTGAACTTCATTCACAGCTTATCATCCACTTTGTAAATCATCACCTAATCACTGCCAGGCTGGCACTCCCAGCAGCCTGCAGATAGCACCTTAAAGCTCTGCCCCAGGCTATTCCTGTTATGGATGCCCTAAATCTCTGAAGTCACACACCAGCTGCATCAGAACAAGGACAGACCTCACCTGAAGAACAGCAAGGTGCTGCATCATTTTTCCCTGGAGGCAGAGATTAACACAAAGCTGAAGTTTTCTTTTCTTCCCAAACCGGATCAACACCTTTTATCAACCCCTGCTAAAAAATGAAGAGGCAAAATTACAGCAGAAAGGTCATCTAACAAGCCCGCATCTTTACTCCCAAGCCCATCAGTCGCTTGTTTCTCTTTGTCAGAACAGCAAGAGTCAGAAACATGGTCTATTTCAATCAAGAAAAGTAACATCACCAGTGGCATAGCAATATGAAGTCATAAACCCAAATGTTCTTTCATTGCCTCTGTGCAACACATATAGCTTGTCTCCCTGCTGCCTACGTCCCTTGCCCATCAGGTGACAACAGGGAGGTACAGCAGTAAGAGATATGCCTAAAATCAACACGCCTGAAGCAGCGTGGCCCAAGGACAACAGTCCGGCATGCATCCTGACAGCTGAAGCAGAGTGCTGGTACCTGGCCACCGGGCTCCAGCTCATAAATCTCAAAAAGCCATGAGAATTTCACTCATTACCTAAACATCCCCACCATTGTGTTAATTCTGTCACGCCACAGCACTGTGTCTCCTCATCCTCAAAAGACAGCAGAGCAAGCGTATTAAAGAAAGTGGCAAGGTCTGCTGCGCCAGCAAGCACCGACTCCTACAAATGCTAGTATCTCAGGAGAGCGTTTCTTCGGGCTGCGGTCCTGTCACCAGAAGGAATGAGGGGACAGTCTCCCTCTGACTTAGAAATCAGAAGCCCTTTTGCTGCGACCTGTCAGGTCTGAACCACGGCCTGAAACAGGGAACCAGCTGAGGAATCAATACACCAAAATGGAAACAGCACGGCCCT